ATCAAGCAGATATTCCACCACCATCCAGATTGATTCTGAATATGTTTGGAGGATGGTCATTAATATTGAGGAATCATGTTTGACCTCTTGATACGATTCAGCCTCCAATGCCTTGCATGGAAACTTGGAGGTGCCATTTGACTTGCCATTTGTTATGCGACCCTCTCTCATGCGTGAAGAACGAATTTAATATTCCCAAGAAAGTACTCTGCACCCATGATGGGTGGTATAATATTCCCACGAAAGTATTCTGCACCCGGCCCATGATGGGTGGTACCGTACGACCAATTATATAAACAATAACAAATAGAAAAACAACAAAAGCAAACAATATCAAAAACATCAATGATAGATTTATTTCACGGGGTGAGATGAACCGTGGGATATGTGTTGTAAGACACCACGCATGCAAAAAGCAACCCATCTTGGTGAGGGATGATGCATTTGCAAGCTACGAACGCAAAAGCCCAAAGTGAGGCTGGGCAGGCTGACCACATCGGTTGGTGAGAGGCGCGCATACAGATCCGCCAATGCCTGGCAGTGGCTTTTCACGGTCCCAAGCAAGTCCTTCCAGCTTCGTCAACCCATCGAAATCAAACAGAACTGGTGAACACACCCTTGGCAAAGGGCTGACACATATTCCAGAAACATATCACTCATCCCATGGGGGTTCCAGGTGTCTTGCACATACAGCTCCGCCAAATGGATTCAGTGTGTTCATTCATGAGACTGTCTGAGAGCAGGAGGCGAGGGAATGCAAGTTACATCAAGCAGTCTGAGTGTCCCCATTTGCTGAACCCTTGCAGGCCTGACCTTGCTCCTCAAGCACAAACAGTCCCCTCTCGGATGGTCTGCAATTTCTTGGGGGCTTCCGGTGAAGAGTACTTAGCAGTCACTAGCTGCTGCATCCAAACATCATCTAAACTCCACTCCTTTGTCTCAAAGGTCAGCCACCAAAACACTTGGTGGGATGAATGATGAATATCCATGTCAGCCAATGAGAAATACAAAGCTTAACAAAGAACGACACACACACACACAAAAAAAAAACATAGCAGCTGTATAGGCGGGTGTTCAGAGATGTGGTCAGCTTGTGGTTCTTCTGCCCATCTCTTCTTTAAGGGAGGGTGAGAGATCAAAAAAACAAATATTTAACGTCGTATCAATTAAAAAAACATCTACACCTTAGTGATCTTTAAAAACGCTGAAGGCATAGTGCTTTGAACAGGGATCCTTTCGTGCGCCCCCTGGCCTTTGCCATCAACTGCTGGGGGGTCGATTTCCGGCTCTCCACCTGTGCGGTGGTCACCGTGCGGAGGGATTCAGTGCGCGCATTCCGTGGATCGACGACCAGGTGTTGAGGGAGTTGGTCTATGAATTTGAATTAGTTGAATAAATGTGAGGCCCAAACTGCACAGTGAAGATAGGAGTGAGTATATGGAGCTTTAGATTTTTGGGTCCGCCACCATCTACTGATGCTTCAGATCATCAATGATTCTCTCTGGCCCTCAACCACTAGAGTTCCGGACCACTGGCGATGTATTTCTGGGTGTGAGTGAGAACACTGCTTCTGTGGTACCAAATGGGTAGTCCACGACGTCCATTCCATAGAGGAAACCACCTGATACTAGCCATCAAAAGCCCTCAAGAAGCAGCAATCTCTACACTGATGATGATAGGATGTCCCTCCAAGACAAACATGCCACCGACAAGCTCAGTCTGGTGACTCAGTTGGTGGTCTGGTGACTCAAATCGCAAAATCTGACGCATCGCCCTTAGATCAGCTGCTGTGGATCTGATGGTTAGCATTGCATTATGTATCTGATGAGCAGAGCTGCCCACGGATTGATCAGTCGCCTGGTGTTTTCGTTCGCTTCATTGTTTTCACAGCAGCATCGTCATCGGTGGCATAACATTGTCATCGGTTTCATAACAGTCATTCATACCCACTTGCCGAGAAAGGTCAAAGTGAAAGGTTCATCCATGGATAACCCACCCATTGAAAGACGAGTCTGGCAGTTTGCTTGGAGAGAACTGAAAGAGTCAGCACCAAAAAAATGTGGAAGCTCTGATGGAAGTGATCCGAGACAGTGGCCAAGTCAAACATACGCGGTCCGCACTGATGAAAACGAATAGTGTTTGAACCTGGATGTTTTCACTATGTTCCATGCTCCGTTTACATGGGGTTTTACAACACAGGCCTCATCTTGTACCAGGCGACCAGTTATATGGGTTCAAGAACAAAAAAGCTGACCTAGAAACACTGGGTGGGATCCAAGGAACTCGCTTTCTGCTACACCACTGCTCAGATCGGAGCACATCTGGGAGGCTGAGAATCAACACCGCACCTTAGGACCTTCTGGAGTCTTCAGGGAAATCAGTTAGTAAAAAGACCATATATCAAATTAAATAAATCCTCAAACTGCTTGGATTATTTCTAATTATCTCGAAGACCTTACGAGGTCTTGCCGCGAAAACAACAGCATATCATATATCAACTTCTGCCGCTGAGGCATCCCTGGCGCGTCCGTCACCGCATGGCACCCATGACCGGTGTTTCAGGCAAGCACCTCCTGTGTGAAAACCCTGCTCCCTGCTGTGGAACAAATCGTCCACCACCCAAGTAGGACAAACGCATATAATTCTGGCAATGAACAAAGCGAATCTAATGAACCTCGTGCTTGTGTGCTTGTCAAGGGAAGAGCGAAACGATGTTCGGCCAGAAAATCCTTCATCACCGATCAACTGCTCCGCCTTCACGACCATGCCCGGCAGTGGCGCTGGCGTTGTAAGCAGTCCACCTGGGATGTTCAGAACAACAAGCCCGACCAACCATGGCCAACTTTTGTCCGGTCTTCAGTGCACTCAGGTCATTTGAAGACTTTGCTAGTTTCCTTGATTCAAATTAGATCAGCTTCGGCCTGAATACAACTGGATAGCACCCCAAACATATCAACACAGCGTTACAAGTGCCGCGCGCAGAAACTAATGACTCGACTCTAGTTAAGGTGTTCAAAAGATTGAGTAAGAGCTGTCATGTTGTGGGTTTGACTTAAGCAACTGAGGTAGATGCAGAATTCGACAGACATCTCTAGAAAAAAATAAGTTTTGATAGATCTAGTTAAAAGAGCTACTCAAGCAATACTCAGTGAGTTGCAGCAGCCCACAGGGATCTCTTTGTTGCCAAGATTCGAGAAGTCGCTGTCATGCAGGACTCCTGGACACCACCTAGGAGATGTGTGAAAAGCTTGGCAATGGAGGCAATTGCTATTAGATTGGAGGCCATCGCTAGTAGGTTGGAGGCCATCGGTAGTAGGTTGGAGGCCATCGCTAGTAGGTTGGAGGCGAGGACATCGCTAACAGGATGGAGGCCATCGCTCTTAGGACGGAGGACATCGCTCTTAGGTTGGAGGCCATTGTTTTGCTTGGTTTTTCTCCTCAGGTGGTGCTTGGTCATGGATCTATATATCTCGAGGTCATTCCAAGCATACACAATTAAAGGATCTCCGGGTGGATGCGTTTTCGGGTACAATCTTCAATCACCCGACGTTTTTGGTGTGGTGACCACATAGGACACCAGAGGAGCGGCTGGTGATGTGATGTTCCACTTCCATGATGATTCCAGGGAGTGTAAGTGAAGCCAAGGAGATCGCAATGACCACAACTCTGCTTGGCGCCAACTAGCTTCTATAGTTTCGAGCTCGCTCTGGTTGCTCCTTCTAGAAAAAAAGGATGTTGAACAAGGCGCGACCATGGCGCGACGGGCCTGTGACAGGCGCCGGAACTCTATGGAGCTCTGTTGAGCTGCAGCAACCAACGTATCTGGGTAAACACTGAGATCCTATACCCTTCATATCCGTTCATCCTACGTTGCTCGATTTCACAGCTCGGCAGCTTATTCGCTTCCGTAGTGATTCTAATCAATCATTCAGAGGTGTTTCAACATGTTTCAACACACTCCTGAAACCAGGGGATGCACAAAGCACAAACCCAACAGTTTCTGGAGAAGTCAAAGGAGTCGAGAACCTCTCAATGGAAATGACAGGAAGACAGTCCCCAAGTAAAAACACTCCCAAAATCCAGTCACATCAGCAAGGTCATCTGCCAGCCTTCCCCTTTTTGCTTCGCTACGATAAAACGGGAGGGGCGAAATCACGAAGTCATTCGCCCAGTCATTCACCCATTGCGTCCAGGCACGGGCATACTCCATGCAGAACGCATCCATTGGATCTACGGAATTAGCTGGAACGGAGTCTTCCCTTTACCCGGCGCTGACTGAGTGTTGTCAACCAAAATGGCTGCAGAAGGTGTCGATGGTGTGGCGAAATGAGACCACTCTAGTAGTCTCTCCAAGCCCAAACAGGGTAATTACCCGCGTACTCTGAAATTACATTTCCCAGACACTCCATGTGTGGAACATTTACCTACATGGGGGTGGTTTTGGGGGGTCAGTAAATATTCCAGACATGGAGTGTCTGGGGTTGATAAGCCTTCTGGTTCCGATAGTAAGGTTGGCCCACGCCCATCTCTTCCAAGCAAGTGCGGTCACTGGATGCCCAAGAGTGGAACCACGGTAAAAGAACCTGGTATGAACATGGCAATCCTTCATGTTACTCGGGTTTATAGGTTTACGATGATAATGATCATTATGATCAATAATCTGAGGAAAAGGATTCATTATATCTAACCCTCTATCATCACTGCGTCAAATCAGCCTGTATCAATCGTGGCATTGACCTCCTGCCATTAACAACCAACAAAGTTCTCATGATTTTGTTGTGATGTCCAGTACCTCAGTACCTCCAACCCCGATGGCGCAATCACTTGGAAAATGAATCACTAATGATATACTCCAACAAAAACATTGCTTTTGGGGAGATCAACATCACCTATCACCTGCAGTATTTCCAACGAACCACTCTTTGGTCTTCTCCGACCTATGGGCGCCCGCTGGGACGCGTCAGGTCGACAGGGTCCGCTCCGCTGTTGGGGTGCCGAACGTCTGTCCAGGACGCCTCGCAGGACCTGATGGTGCAAAAATCAGGCGAAGACCGAAGAGACCGAAGACCTGACTTTTGCAACCCTGGTTGAAGGCTTGCACACTGCTTCTCCGGAAAGAAACGTACCAGGGCGTGGTCCTTCCGGACATCTTGGTCCCTGTACTAAATAGTCTTAACATTCCTCCATAGAGAAAAGTTTACCATGGTTGGTGGAGATGCAAAGCCCGACCGACTAAAGACAGCCCAAAGATGGTGAACTTGTGGTGCATTGTGGTGCTTTTCTTCTGTGAGCAGCGGAAAATGAGGACTGCAAACAGATTGTAGGGTTCGGGGATGGATCTTTGGGAGGTTCCCGACTTGGACAAACATATTATACATATATATGTATCAAGCCAAGTTAATCCCGAGTACCTATTAATAAACACTCCCAAATAAAAACCGGAAGCCCCTGAATACGGTTTATACTGTTTAAAGTACCGCCCTAAAGCCGCTACAAAGCTACCAACACGGTCGACTTTGGTGTAGTTTTTTCTAGTAGGTTCCCCGAAAACTCCCTCAAAATCGACCATGTTGCTAAGGCTGGGTCCACCCTGGGGTCGTCCACCATGGCTGTCCAACCCTGGTTGTCCCTCGTTTCAGCTGTGTAGCGGACTGTCTGGCTCTCTGTCTGGCTGGGCAAGTTGATATCCTCTTGCCCCAAATCCTACAAGCATGCCGCGGTTCTATATATAATTAACTATATTCACCTTGGCTATACTAATCACGACATCGACACTTCACGGTCAAAAAAAAGCTGCGCCTGCAACAAAATCTGCACTTCCAGGTTTACAAAGTCCTGCACCTGCCACGAAATCTGCACTTCAATCTTCACAAAGCGCTGCGCCTGCCAGGAAATCTGTATTTCATATATGTCATTAATCAATGATTAAAGGATCCTCCCATATCCTCCCACTGACCCAATTTTGGACAACCCCTATTTTAGGGACCCCCTATTAACAAAATTGCACCCGAGATTTTGTTCATACGGGGGGGAGGGGCGTGCTTTTTACTAGGTGGAAGTTTAGGACCGAAACCCTGCCTTGGACAAGAATTGAAACAGAGAGGGTCAAACAAGGGGCCATTGTGAACCTATCGATTCGCTGCACGCATCGATAGGTGAACTCACAAGACATGGAACCTGCTTGTCTTCCAATTCACTCTTGCGTGCAAGAGTAGAAGTCTCGTTGACCCAACAGCGATGGACTTTCAAGGCGTGCAAAAAAGATTTAAAAAAGAAACAGAAAAAGCTATCGAGATACAAATATGTTTCAAACTGAAGAAAACTACCACACATGGAGGATAGTTCATGTTTGCTCTTCTCCCACTCCCAAAGAGGACGCAGGACTACAAGCCTTTAATAACTCCTGAATCCATCCCCCCAGTCAGCCAAAACAAAGCGTTTGTAGGTCACGTGGCTGTGGGTCAAAACCCGGAGCCCTGTTGACCCTGTAGGTAGTCTATTCTGTCGATGTTCGGTGGTGAAAGACCCAGAAAGCCATGTAGGGATGTTCATCTCGCAGCCACTCCCAAAGCGTCTGGCAGCGCGTCTGGCCACCGGGCAGTCCAAAGCGCAAGGCCACCCCAAAGGCCCAGGAGAGATTCTGGCGGGCGCTCAGACCACTCGACCCCCAAGTATCAAGGATCATGAGGATCTGTAGTTCGATGTTCATGGGGTTCTTTATGAGATCCGAACAAAGGCCCAAGAACATGAAGCTCACTATGAAGCCCTATTCCCTATGGATCCACCTGCCTTCGTATTTTTTTCACCAAGGGCGCCTGATGTCGACGGCTGGGTCTGTGGATCTCTAAGGCACCCTGTCCACCTCTCTGGGACGTCCCAACCGGTCAAACCGGTGGCTTGAACTGGAATGAGTCCGATTCATGTGGCGGTCTGCCCGCTTTGTGGCGGATTTGGTGCATCAATGAACCATCGCAGTTTACATCGGAGCGGTGGAGTGTTGGTAGATGCGTGGAGCGAACACGTGAACAAAATTTAAAATAGGTGGATCTAAATAGGGTTGAGGGACAACATAACAACGTGCTGTTGCCGTGTTTACTGCAAACACCGTTCATGGGCAAGCAGCACTTTGGACCATGTCTAAAGTCTATATAGATCAAGCCAGCATTGGTTTAACCAGTGTTGATGTGACCTCGACTTCTGGATCTAGACTGCCCTGCGATGTCCATCAGTCACAGAAAACACAACAAAGTTCCCAACTGACACGTAAGATATCTGTGCAAAAAGTAACATGTCTTGGCAGTTCCAAAGCGTCACAAGTCTAACAAGAATGATTGCACCAAAAAGCTGCACCCCGGAAGATTCACATGGAACCTGATGGCATGGACCTTCGGAAGACTATTTTCCTCTACAACACGGTGGTTGTCGGGTTCCATGTGAATCTTCAAGGGCGTAGGACTTTAAACGTGTTGGATTGTCTCGTCTGCTCGCGCCCACTCTCTTTGATCCAGCGAGACGGTCTTTGAGGTATTTGGAGTGAAACAAATCAGCAAGAAATTGGCAGCTTAAATAAATGGCACAAGGCTGCGCTAGGGAGCTGTTCTTGTGATGTTCTGATTTAATATATGCTGTATGCATGTAACAGTATAAATTTGTGTACTTGATTTATATAGATCCAAATCCAAATAGCCTCAAGATTCTTAGGTTTCTTGTGCCGTGCGCCGTGGGTGTCTCAAAAAACCTCGAAGTCACCGGATGTCGTCTTTACATCTCAAAACAGGTGATTTGGAGCCGTTGAGTTTGAGACACAAAGCAAGTTTGATCCAAGAATTTGGAGGTGGGTTGGCTTGAAATGGCTTACCAGCATGGTAAGCGACTGGAGGCACCTTTCATGCATCCAGCAGGGTAATCGCCCACCCGCTTGGGAGATATGGCCACTCCCAACCCCACCAAGGTGACCTTCAGGGGGACCAGCGTGGACCAGGTAAACACTGCAGAGACCGGACACCTCCTGTACCAGCGGTTCCATGTCGTTTTCAGTGCTTTTCAGTTCCGTCTCTAGTCAGGTGTTCCTATCCGCACCCGTACCCCAAAGGGCGCCAAGAGACTGACCCCGACATGGAACTCGACCGGTACACAATATGTTTGATCTTCTTCCACTCCTGGAGGCCACCCCATCCATGGAACATGGGACTGACCGATCCTCTACTCTCCTCAGCTGAACCGATCCTCTGGTTGTATCATAGTCTTAGTTGTATCCAGGCAAATGCCATGCTCATCACCTGAGTCCAGAGACTCCAAAGAGACAGCACCAAGCATAGGTTGATATGGCTTTTGACAGGGAACATCGAAGGGGGGCATCAGAGCTCAACTCACGAAGCATATCTACGCATACTCAACCATTAGTAGGGTTTGACTCAAATCACAAGCAACGTTCAACATGTTGCAAATACCCTCTCATTAAACAAACATATCCAAGCTGGAGTAATGCAGACGGATTGTGTTCAATGAAGAATTGCTGCATTCCTCTTCAACATCAAGTTACCATCACCTCTCTGCTCAAACCGATCTTTGCAAACTTTGGGCCATTTTTTCTGGGAGGAAAGGGCCGAGAAGCCATTCTGCTCAAACATTAT